TATTGTTTTAATTAAACTTTTATTCTGTAGAATAATTTTCATTTTATGGAAAAATAAAAGTAACCTCGAGCATAAAACTTTATGACTCAATTTTTAAAGACGGTACATTTATTTTTCGTCTCTTATACTACGCAGCAATCTAAATACATGGATAAATAATATTAGTCATCATATTAAACATGATTAAGTATTCAAAACAATCTTTGATTTAAAACCTCTTCATTAAATCATACTGAACAAATTTCCGCGAAAAATTTGTTAAATTACTCTTGTCGTAAATAATGTGTCTTCTACGCCGCAAGAAATATTTTGAACTTGGGGTAAGTTCAAGGAAATTTTTAACGATGTCATTTCTTTTTATAAACTACATTTATATGTTTTAATCATTACAACAATTCATTGCTAATTTTATGCGAATTACTTCGTTTTTTTTCAAGTAGTTATCTTGTAACTATGAACCCGTGTTATGATAAACGATAGAAATTTTTTTATATTTAATAATGTTTTTCTTTAAATTTTTTTTTTACACTTTCTATTAAAACAACAATTATATTATCAATTTCATTTTAGTCATCTAACCTTTAGACATGTGTTTTTCTGAGTCAGAAAAAATATTAAGTAAATATTTAATCGACTGATAAGTGCATAAATTTTATGACTTCAGGTTAAATTTTAAAGTAAATTACATCTAATCATTTCTTTCCGTGTCACGTTCGAATAGTCAATTAATTTACATTCTTTCTTTAACTTTCGGAAAATGTTATACCAACAAGAAAGAAATATCGATGTACGTGTTTTATCTGTATGAAGATATATCTTTATTACATGTTCAGTTAATGTCACTTTATTGAACAAGGATTAACTATATATACACTCTATCTGACAATTATAGGATATCTATGACTCATTTTAACGTTCACATAGTGATAATTTAAGTTGAAACAAAGTTTAGTCATAGTTGATGTAAAAAATATATTTTTTAAAGATAAGTTGTTTAATCTACGACTTGATATGCTTCTACTTACTTTTTTTAACAGTTATCTTTATCTTGATCAGTAAAAAATTTACCATTTATGATCATGTCAGATTATATATTAAAGTAAAAAAGTTCTTTTTTATTTTATTGTTTTTTTTTTTTTTTTTTTTTTTCTTTTTTTTTTCTAGAAAAGTGCACATAAATTAAGCAATAATTAATGTAGTAGCTGATTAAACAAGAAATAAATTTCAGATATAACCAAAAAAATTCTCAATAATAAGTAATACTCTTAAGTATTTCTCTTACTGAAAAGTATTTGCTCAATTATCATTTTATTTGGTGATAAACTGAGTACGTTGTTACTTTTAATATGTTAGTCAACAACAACTTTTGTTATAAATTAATATTTTGTTCAAATTAATTTATATTTAAAATTACTACTTTGAAATTTTATTAATTGAAAAGTAATAGAGTTATTTTTTTATACATATTTCTATTTATTTAATTGTTAAAAAAAATTAAACTAAAGTTTCTTTTAAACGATTATAATTTACAAATAAAAAACATATTTGTTGAATAATAAATTACTTTTGACAGTGATGCTATGTAGAAATTTTACCGGTTCAGAATTTATCCAAAAAGTATTTTCATCTTTTGTTTTATCTTTATGATCTTTACCTATATGTGATGTAGGAATACACTAGTAAAACGAGTTCTCTAACCGAGAAAACATTTGGCTCATGGAAATGATTTTCTTCATTAGTGTAAACAGGTTATTATTATCTCATAGAATATCTTAGACCCAGGTAAAAACTTTTTAAAAATTGTGCAGCTGAAATAGACATCACATTTCTATAAGAATTGACTCAATATATTTTACTACTTTACTCTTTCACTATTTTTTTGATAGTTTTCTTATTTATTCACTTATAAGTTGTAACTCTGATTTGATTACATAAGTATCGCATCGTTTAATTGTTTATTTCTTATATCTGAGCAAGATGACGTCAAGAGAAGCTCCCATTTTCCACTTGATCATAAAAAAAATTGTCTATATATTTTTTTCTGAAGTAGTCACTATGAAAAATTGATTTCCCAAACAATTTATCAAAATTTTCATTTTAACAACAATTTTTTTTATAATGAAAATTTTGAGTACTTTTAATTAAAAAATAGATTACAAATCAACCGTTAAAAATAAATTAATGAAATTTTCGGATGGATTTATTGTTTTATAAAAATATTAATAGCTTAAAATTATTTTTTCATTGTCGTATTTTTAATTAACAGTAAAATAATTTTTTATTATGAATATAAGACGGAAAAAATTAATAAATAATCAAATATAAATTCTACAAAACCGTGTAATCTACTTTTATTTAATTGTATTCTTCATGATATTGTTTAAAAAAATAGAATTTGTTTAATAATAATATTATTAATTATTATCTTTAATTATGACTGACCGAAGCTGCAACATAGCCTGAGAGGCTCGGCCGCGCGCTGTACTGAGAGCGCCCGGTACCCGGTGCGCGTGAAAAATAAATTCATATTCTTTGAACTAATTAGTCGCGATTAATCGCGAGCAGTGAAATTTTCTTTCGGATTCTAAAACTTTAATAAATAACGCATATAAACATTAAAAAAAAAAGCTTCATTTTTTACCGAGAGATGAATTAAATTTTCATTTGCTAACTTAAAAGTTAATTAACAATCGGATAATATACAAATAATTTTAAGTTATTAATATTTTTATAAAACATAAATATTTGGCAATAAATTCAAAAAAATTTCATTAATTAATCTTTAACAGTTGATTTGTAATCTATTTTTTAAGTAGAAGTACTTAAAATTTTCATTGTAAAAAAAATTGTTGTTACAATGAAAACTTTGAAAAATCGCTTGAAGGATTAATTTTTCATAATTACTCGAGAAAAAAAAATATATAGACTTAATTTTCATAATCAAGTGGAAAATCGGGGATCCACTTGATGTGATCTTGCTCATCTGCTATATAAATCTATAGATTTTCATATAGATTCCCATGTGTTCCTATACAAATCTGCACAGATTTTTTTGATAGGGTATAGTTGAGTTTCAAATTTTTACAATGCCAATTGAAAATCTCGGACAGCTGGGTGGCGCGGAATATTATGTATAATATTATTAATTTTTCTACTGGATTCCAATAGGAAGTTATATTAAAACCTGTTATGACTCGCGATTGGTTTACCGCAAGTATATAAAATGTTACGTATAAAATTAAAGCTTATATTTTATACCAAATAAGTGAGTTACTCAAATATATTGTGAATAAAGGTTTAGTTCACAATTAATAAATGCAAGACTAATAATAGATGTTGCATTGAGTAAAAAACCATGAGGTTGAGTTTATCTTTAATTTATTTAAAGTAAAGAAATGCGACTGTGCGCTACAAAGTATGTAAGTATAACTAACTTAGAGAAAATACAAAAATTGTTACAAGGTGAGTAAGAACTAGGCGTTACAAGTACAAGCAGAAAAAATTAGGAGTAGGAATATTTGGTAACGAATAGTTAACGAGGAAATAATTTGGAGGCGGGATAGTTGCAAACTATGCAGTTTTGAAAAATAAGTAGGAAAGGGAAAAGGGATGCTAAGATTTTTACCTGGATGGGCGATACGTTTACAGAAAATATTTCTAAACTTAGTTAGCAATTAAAAGATTAAAAATACAAAATTTACCAAGAGTAAAAACCCAGAGTAATATAACCAGGGTATCAAGTTTATGACCATAAGCAGATTAAAAATTATTTAAGAAGATATCCCAAAAATTAGCATTAAAAATTCATTTTCTATTCTAAAGCTAGAAAATAACAAGAATATAAAAAAGGGAAAATTTGTCTAGACTGCTATTGCAATACATAGACTGGGAAATTTACACTCATAAATAAAGTTGAACAAATGAATGAACCTTTTTTTTTTCTAGATAACTTAAAATACTTAAGAGTATGGGTTTGAATTTAAAATAAAATATGTTATTTACCAATTTAAATAATAATTTTGACTATAGAATAAAAAATATAAAATTGTTTAATTAATTAAAAATTTTTTTTTTTAATAAAACTAATCGTACGACGGAACAAAACCCTATAGGAAATACACAGTGGGTTAAAATGTCCTACTTTCCTCTTGAGATGCATAAATTACGATTTTGTCCTGAATAGAAAAAAAATTCAAAATTTTTTTTTAAGAGGGCAATAAATAAAATTGTTTGCATTAAATTTACGAAGGCTTAAAAAGAATCATATTCACAAAAATTAATATCATTTCTTTATTACTTGGCCGAAATGTTGATTCACAAATATAGAATGGTGTTTAATTGAAGACTTCGAATACATCATTTAGTTTACTGAAGACTGAATAATAAAGAAATAAAATTATTAATGATATAAATTTTTAAATAAAATTTCTTATTATAATTTATACTAAATTGAAAATAAAAACTGAAAAATTCCTTACTCAAATTTCGAGGACACTATACTCGAGGTATTAATTTTAATCATATAGATAGAGTGTATCCAGGTTAAATAAGATTAGAAGATAAAAATTTAGAAGCCAGACTTACAAAGTTGTCAAACGTGATTTTTTTATACATAGTAGTCGATTCTATCAATTTTAATTTATAAAAAAAAGTAAGTTTTCTTTTCAGTAATAACCATTAAAACTGACGTCAAAGAAATAAATTAATTCTTAGAATTAAAAGGATAGATATTGTCGTAAACCATAAAATGTTTTAAGATAACAAAAGTCTTCCCACTCTCTATCTTATGAGGGATCTCTCCCTACCTCTTTGGACTTTAATACGGCCTTACTATACAACATATATAAAGTACTGTTAGTGACTGGTCTAAGAACGTATGCTTGAACGAAGTTACAGCTCATAGTAGACGAGAGTGAGATCAGTGCGGGACTTATTCGAACATTGGTGTTAATAAACTAGCAATTCTACGGTTACGCAGAAGGCAAATTACTTCACCGAAAATGTCGAGGGCTATATTTATTGTTATTTTTGCATTAACTTGTCTCACTTTCCTGACAGAAGCTGTACCAAAAAGTGATATTCAGTGTAAAAATTGTAAGTATTATTATAAACATAAAAAGATTAAAATTAAATTAAAAAAAAAAATAAATAATAATAATCTAGTAAAAATATGTAATTATTCTTAAGAAATAATTTAATGGGTAATTGCGTTTAATTAATATTACCGAACAACTTCAAACGCATGTACAATGTATCAGTAGTATGGTAGAGAACGTAATAATCGCATCATGTTTAGGTGGTCATTATTATTAATGAACTCGCATGACCTATCTAGTTATTGTCGTTTTTCCGTATACTACACACAACATTACAAACTTAATTATAACGCTTATTGTGAAAAAAGTTGCATATAATCGCGTGCTTTAGGTAACGCTTGGTATTATTTTTCACATCTTTTTATTGTTTATTGTTCCAAGAAATGGAAAAAAAAAAAATACAGATTTTCTTTTTACTTATTTTATTATTTTCATTACAAATCCGTGAGTACACTCATAAACAAATTTTGATGTTAATTTAGTGAGAAAAAAAAGTGAGTAATTTTAATTACTCGTCTGGGCAATTTATTTTGGGTCGATGACAATTGTTTACTCAATGAAGTCATGGAAAATCGATAAGATAAATAATATCATCATTGCGAGGTAGAAAATGAAAGTCACGTTACGCAGATCGGGTCTAGAAAGCAAGCAACAAGTTCAAGGCAAGCAACTGCTAAGTTTTGTACGTTAACGGCGGTAATGTAGTTGAATCTTGAAGGTGGCTGAAATGGACCGTGAAGAAAAAATTGCTCACCGATATATTTAGAGATAAATGTTTTATTATATTTATACATACGTAAATGTAAATGGCAAATAAGTAGGGGAGGGGGGGGCAAAATGGGGTACTTAAGAAATCGCTATGATTTTCAGGACTTAAATACGCTGATTTTTCTCGTTTTCAGTGGTAATTAAAGAACAATAATCAAATTTCAAGTTGCCGTAGAAAAAAAATTTTTATTTTTTGCGGGCAAAATGGGGTACTCCCTGAAAAAGTGAAAAAAAAAATTTCTTCATTCGAAAATGAAATATCGTTAAAAAAATAACATTTTCTTACCGATAAGTCTGCAAAAGAACCCAAAGAGAGGAACAAATCACCCAAAAAAAAGACATTGTTAGTTGAAGCAATATACTTCTAACAAAAATTGAGGTAGTTAAAAAAATTTTTAAACTTTGTAATAATTTTTGACGGGTTTCGCTTGAGTTAAAATAATATCAAGATAAAAAAAAGAGTTTTCTTAAGAAAATTCCCGGTTTTTGGAACTCCCGGTGGAAAAATTTTTAAACTCATAGTTCTCACGCAATTCAAAGTAATAGCTCGAAAAAAAAGATTCGTAATTTTTTTGCACTCTCTTTCTTGGTTTCGGGATTCGGGAAAATTTTTTCAAGTTGAATAATCTTGTAGGCCTGAAGATCTTACTTTTTAAATTAAATATCTCACAAGTGCTGTTTAGATTTTGAAATTGATCGTTACATCTGTTTAATAAAAGCTGTTAAAAAAAGAAGTTATTTTAAATTTATGAGGAAGTCTAAGTTTCGCTGAACCTTATCAAATGACGCGATTGTCGTTCAAATCAGTGGAGCTGCTCAAAAGTTATGAGAGGTTAACGCACACACACACACACACACACACACACACACACACACACACACACACACACACACACTAGTGGAAGCAATGTTGTCATCAGAAGCTGCCTGGAACGCTACCAACACGTTTGCAACAGAAGTCCTTAAAGGCTTGCGTTCCACCGAAAGAAGAAGAGCAAATAGCAGAAGATAGAAGGAAGGTAGTTAACACCTTAGCCACCAGAAGGAAGAGCAGTAGCTAGATCCTCCCTTCACGAAGTAATGCCTGACGGCGGTTTACATGAGGGATTAGAGGAAAGAGGAAAAGGGTTTAGGGTTTAGTGGGTAGGGGCGCCAGCGTCAAGTTTTGGTATGACGCTGCGTCGAGTCGCCACATATCCAGCCCAACAACTATGCCTAGAATCCGTAAAAAGAATTCCCCCCCCTAAAGG